TGTGTGTGTGTGTGTGTGTGTGTGTGTGTGTGTGTGTGTGTGTGTGTGTGTGTAGCTTTCAAATAAAATTCTGAGTGTCTCATTTCACTCTTAATCGAGGTCATTCCTACTGTGATGTTAATAGCCTAAAGGGGACCGAAACACTCCTGTTTACGCCAAGTAGTTGATCTGAAGTGAAGTGATAACACACACACAACAGACACCCATACACACAAAAACATAAGGAGCAAAAGTTAAAGAATGCACAAAATTAACCCTTAGAATTGAGAATACTATGCAGATTTTAACCACTGTATATATAAATTTTTTCTGCTAATTAATCACTGTGTTAAAACGGTCAATAAAATTTTTACTGCTTATCAAAAAGTGATAAGCAGTGTCTGTGTCACACTAAAGTTAAACTTTTCATTCGGTCTTGATTTGATGTCAAAAACTTGAGGTTGGCACACGAATATCCGATTCATAGAAGGTTGACTTGTGGCCCTTAAAAATAGGACTAATACATCCTGAAATAAAATACTGGATGCCATGGCGACTGTGATTGGATGACAGGAGTAATCTGCTGACTAAATCCCCTCATGGCTCAAGCTGTGATTTGGACTGGAGATTTGTTTTCAGAGTGAACTCCGCCCTGCAGAGATGACTGTCAACGTAAAGTACACTACAGACTGCAGCAGGCCAGCAAATAGTCTGTTTAATTTGGAGGAAACAGCTTGGACTCGACTTTGATAGCTTCTTCCCTGCGTGCTGACGTGAACAAAACGAGCCAACCGGCAAGCCAACGCTAAAGCTATTCTATGGTAGGACAATCATGACCAAGTTTTCAGCTGCTGTGAATGTAGGTCTGTTGTTACAGGTTGTGTTTTCTGTATTAGTATAAGAAAAAACTTTTTTTTTCCTGTACAAGTAATTAATAAAATAATTTTAAAAACTGAAACATCACACTCCCACCCCCCCAGATTCTGTGATTGAAAACATTTTTTAAAATACAATGTTATCATAGAATTGAACAGTTTTGTATTTTAAGTGATCAGCTTGTTGTTTCAGTGAACTTTTATTAAATGTTAACTGTCTAAATAGGAAGCCTGGTCCAGCTAAAGCTAAAGCAGTCTAAGGAGGACAAATAAAAGTTGTATTTTCCAAGGTCACAAAGTTTTAACATGAACATGCTACAAAGCAGTCCTTTTGTCCTTTGTCCATTCAGCTATTGGTTATTAATTGATCATAAATAAATACATGCGGCTGAGCTCAAATTAATTGATAATATGCATGATAATAAGAAACCAACAGACAGCCCCTTTACTCTAACCAACAATATAAGCATGTAGTTTTTTGGGAATTGAAGAATGGACCTCTGATGCTACACCAAAATCATTCCCTCAGTGTCATTCAAGCATTAAATGAGCATCCACTCCATAATTTAACATTTTCTTTGAGCTTCAGAGCTGCAAAAACAGCTGTTAAAATTACATATGGCAGTTTATGTTCTTGTTGTTACCTATATTAACAATGTGCTGGCATGGCCATCCCTTGTTTTCATCTGATATAGATGTGTAAACAGGAATGCAAATTCGCTTAAAAAACAGTCGCACAGTGCCTGTGTTAGCTCCCCTTTTGTCACAATAAGGCTCCTGAATAAAACAGATGTTGCAGCGAGTACGTTAACCTCTTTGCAAAAATGGACAATTACATACAATAGGTGTACCACTTTGACAGGTAGTGATAAACTGGGACATTCAACAGCAAGTGGCCCAATGTACAAAGCAGCAAATATTGGAGAAAAAAACCCCTCAAAGCTGTCATTTTTAATTTGTCTCTCTATTACACGTTCCCCACACACTTTTTAAATTGTAAAAGCATGGAAAGCTAACAAGCATACTAATGCATTGTGCATTATGCATTACAGGGTTGCTTTTTAAAAATAAAGACACATTTAAAGTGAAATTATTAACTTAATTTGAGAACATTAGTGACTGTGTCGACTTTGTGCATTAATATGTTGATTGTTCTAGTCCACAGGTTGCAGTAAGCAGTGAGCTGTCAGCTCTGTCCTCTGACTCCAAGCAGCTGGGGAGATGTGAGAAGGGGTCATGCCTCTGGTGAAGAGGAACATTGAGCCTCGGCACCTGTGCCACAGTGCCGTGCCCGATGGAATTGGCAACGAGCTGGAATGTGTAACCAACAACACGCTGTCCGCTATAATTCGACAGCTCAGCAGTCTGAGTGAGCTTACAATTGATCAGATTCAGAATAAAGTATCAATGCGTCTTTAACCTGTGCTCATTACATGCAATCAAGGTGTTGCCACTATTAAGCAAATCGAAATTTAAATCATAAGGAAAATTATACAGTAAAAAACCTAAACTATCTAAATATTCAGGGCATAATTACTTCAAGTTGTGAAAGATCGTTAGAAGTGATGGGGTGGGAAACTAATTTGCACACAGTGATTTTTAGCTTGATTTATTATGCATTTAACAGATCGATTTGTCACAACTAATACATAATATGGACCAAAGTACTTGGCCTCCTACACCTTAATTCTAGAGGAACTGCTCAGCCATTGAAACTCAGGCCATGAAGCTCCGAGTGCAGTTTTTGTGCTGATGTTAATGCTAGAGGAGCTTTGGAGCTCTGCACTTTCTCCCTGCTCTGTAACTTTACATGCCACTTACAAATGATCGTGGAACATTTAGGAAGGAAGGCATTTCAAAAAAACTGACTTTTTGTAACAGTAACATCCTGTTGCAGCACCACACTCAAATTCTTTAGGAGGATTGACACTTTTGAAGATGTTTGTAAAGGGAGACTGCTTAGTGCTTGAATTTATACATCGGTGGCAGTGGGACTGAAAATACCTAAATTCAAAGATTAAGAGGTGTGACCTAATCCGTTGGCTACATAGTGTATATCAGTCCTGTAACACAACACAATACGCATTGAGTTTTCTGGGGATAATAATTTGACATATTGACATATACCCTCTATGTCATGGGAGTGCTTTTGTTTTCTTAATCCTTTAAAAGGGATTATCAGATAAGAGTGTCACTTAATTGCTGGCTTTGAATGAGGGGAGAAACAAACAAAGAACATATTTTAAGGGTATCAAATTTGTCAGTGTGTGATTTGTTGCAGTCGTTGCTAAAATGCATTTCACTCTGTACACAGGTTTGTGCAGAAGTACAGTGGTTAATGTTAAACATGTTGTTGCAATGTCTGTATAAAGATTAGAAAGCCTGTGTGCTTTTGTGGTTACAAATAAGTGAGAGGAGAC